TGTGTGTGTGTGTGTGTGTGTGTGTGTATGTGTGATACGCGTATAATAAAAATATGTATGTATATTTATGTTTAATGATAATAACTATAATCGGCAGATTCACCTCACGCTTTATCAATGATGCCCATCGAAACCGGCATTATTTTATTATATAGGTGTGTGTGTAACTTGAACCATAACCGTTGAAGATATATAAATACGGTAGTTATATTATCTCCGGAGATTTTCATCTGCTTCGCGACAATAATAACCTTGCGAAGGAGCAGAGGGGGGCGYTGTTGACGCAGGGTGAAAGGTCGTAGACGGGGACGGGTGGTGGCGTATCAAACTTTCAGATAGATSCATGTCATTTTTATCTTATTTTTATTCGTTATGCAAATCATTGGGATTTCAGCCGTTGGGCGGGTACCTAGTAGAATTACCGGGCGGGTATAATAATAATTTAATTTAAAAAGGAAGAAGATCGATATAACATAGTACATAATATTATAAATAGTTGGCTTAAACAAACGACGACGACAACGTATATTATAATATTAAACGTAGGCCATTAAAGTTTGCGAACGGTCTTGTTTAGTTTTTAATCGAGTTTTCGAACGATGCGGGTTATAATAATAATAATAATAATTATTATTATTATTATTATTTTCGTCGTGATGATAAAAAATAAAGTCTCGCGCGGATGAGTTTCTGTATAATATATAAAGGTATATAGGTATGTATATAGGTATAACAGCGCAGTTTAGCGTCATAAATAATGGTATATATTATAATGTTATTATACCTATATATAGGAGYTGCAGGTACCTATAGTACGTACCTACAACCCATACGAAAACTGACTTGGATATTATAATATTATATTTTTAAGGATGCGGAGATTCTATAATTTCGCAATTGAAAAACACATTAATATCGTATGCAAATCGCATCGTTCGAGAATTTTTTTTTTGTCAATAAAATACGAATAAAACGCGTCTCGATAATACTCGCCGCCGTGTACGAATGCGTGTATCTACATAATAATATTACTTATGGAGGTAAGCGTATCGCGTTTTTGATCTCTCATCCTCATTTTCTTCGGGTTTTGTTTTTTTTTCGAACTATATATTRTAGAAACACAACTGCAGCACCGTAGGTAATATAATACAATAATGAAAACAAACGATCGCATAGCGTAATATTTCTTATAAATATATGCATATGTGTACGTAACCTACTCTGATGCAGCGACATCATATTATATTATATAAAGTAATAATAATATATAGGTAACAATATGTAAGCGTTGACATCTGCACTGCCACCGCCGCAGAACGCAGAAATTATAATAAAATATTATAATTATTATCATCATCGTTATAATATTATTATAAAGGTATAAGTTAAGTATACTATAAGTATACCGTATACGAATGTGACGCACTTATGGATACTAATACTGTTACATCCGCTGCACAGTAATAACAATGTGAATTTTAATTTAATATCGTCGCCGGCGTATGTACCTACACACATTCTTCAATCGAATTTATCATCGTATGATAATAATAATAATAATAATTATGTTTGCAGATGAGTCAGCTATGTCGTGTGTGCGGAGAACCAGCCGCCGGTTTTCATTTCGGAGCATTTACCTGTGAAGGATGCAAGGTAATATATTTTTATTATTGTTATCATAGTATATCGTACAGAAATAATTATGATTTATGCACTATTTTTTTTTTTTTAAATTTATAATTATGTCAGAATAATGTTAAAATATTATGCACTAATTTAATAATAATAATTAATTTAAAAAAAGTACACATACTAAAAAAAAATTTCAACTTGTCGATAGTAACGCTTATTATTTGAAAATATGTACATAATTTGCTCTAAGTCGATCGTGAGTTATTATAAAATGAGTTAACCAATTGTGCTTAAAATTACCTTTTGATATATAGGTATCAATTATTCGGAGTCGATAGACCAATAATTGTGCTCAATAAAATAAAAAATAAAAAATATTAATAATATTTGTAGATTATACATCTATACTTAATATTATATACATACATATATGATTAAAATTTAATAATTTACTATTATAATATTATTCTACATTACAGTATTGCACCTAGTATATATAGGTACTTTTATATCATGAATAATTCCGAACGACCGTTATTGTTCGTCTAGCCGTCTCGGACAACATCGTTGGTCGTTTTTTACCGTAGTCGTTGTATAATGATGGCCAAAGCTCAATTAATATGCCCATGTTTATAATATATGCATATTATATAAGTATAGTATATATATATATACACACACAGCGACGAATTTACGGGTGGGGAGGTCCCGGCTTCAACCCTCCCCTACCCAGAAACCATTTAAAAAAAGTTACTCAATGTTAAATCAATATTTTACTACCTACGGGTTTTCTGATAATTGAACGATTTAGACAGTTGCGTTATTTTAGTGTGTAGTATAGCTGCGTTTCAAAGTAAAATGACACATATAAGCTTTTTACCATGAGAATTTAAAACAATTTTAAACCCCTCCGCCCCCCCCCCAAAAAAAAAATATTGATAATACGCCACTGTACATATGTGTCTACTGTATATATAGGTATTAGGTATATAGGCTGCCGTAATGACGAACAACCGACGACGTTACCACGGCCGCCGTCCGTTCTGCGTGCGATACAATAATATTATTATATTAATATGATTATGGTACAATCATAATAATATGTTATAATGCGTATATGCGTATTATCGTGATGCGCGTGAATCAATCRGGCTGGAAATAAAAATCCATTTTGCCGCGATGACCAAAACCGTGTAATTATTATCAATAATTATATACGTGGTAATAATATTATTAGATAGGTCATCCGGCATCAATGAGCTACATTATATCATCCGAATTTCCGATGGAAATACACAGTTTCGTGTGAGTCAAACGGGCGCATGTAAATTCCACCGATTGCTACCTTTTTAGACATTTTTCGTGCAAATTCCACCGCGGTACATTTATTTTAATTGAAAAAAAAAAATGTTAACTCCACCGGTACGTTTTTTTTTTTTTTTACCTGAAATAAAACTATCCAAATCCAATCTGATTAACTAAGATTACATAATTTATGTGGGTGCAGATTTATTATAATATATTTATTGTATTTAGACACAATTATTACTAAAACAAAAAATATCATAAATAATCAAATAGAAAAAATAGAAAAATCTAATATAATTGTTAATAATAATTAACATTACGTAGGTAATAATATGTACCTACATAATTTATGTATAGATTTATTATACTTATTTTATTTAGATACTTATATCTTTTTTTAACCCAATATTAAGAAGAAAATATAATAATCAATAGTGATCACTAGTTAGTATCAAAGTATTTAGTATTATTATGAGTAGGTATATGATATTATCTGCGCCATCTGCGGTCGTTAAGATGAAAAGTCAGTCGAAAATCGATGTGTATAGCTATACTAAAAATAGTTGTAATCTGTGGATTTTACGTGTTTTCAGGTTAAAAAAATGTATTGGTGAAATTTACATGTTATAAATCCAACCCTAAAATCGACTAGCTATAAATCGGTAGAATTTACAATCACCTAGTCAAACGAATCACGCTTGAAGAGAATCGACAATATAGTATAATCTAAATCTATACTTGGATTTAAATATAAACATAAAGCGTAATAATATTATGTGCAACATATTATATTGATATTTTTGATCCAACATCGCTATATATATGATCGCATACGATATTTATATATAAGTGCGGGGTGATCCATTTACTGCAGAAACTACAAACGTTTCTTTTACATAATTCTAACAAGTCATCATTATACTGTTTAGTATTTTTTATATTATTTTTTTCTTCTAAGGTTTATACGCTTTTGAAYGTTTAATTTTTAATTTTATATCGCCAAGTAGAATATTATTCGAAAATAATATATAAAAGTATAAATATTTGGAGTTTAAATTAGTGGAGTAGTAGACAAAGATTTTCCGTGTATACCGCAGTAGCTCATTTGAAATAACGAGTGACTCAAGTTAAATGAATCACCCGGTATATCAGCTGTATATATCTGTATAAGCATACCAATATTTTAGTTGAAAAATAATACCAACAAGTTTGAATTATAAAGAAAAATGCGAGTTTTAGAATCGTCCAAAACGGGGCTTGTGTATATAATCTTCGTTTTGTCCTATATAGACTATGGCTAGAGTAAAATAGTTCGCTGTTTTCTGATAACTACTCCACTGGAGYTTACGATATTAAGATTCCTTCGTTTCTTGTTCAAGATGTCGAAAAATAAAATAAAACGCAGCAATAATTATTAACAGCAGCAGCTATCGTCACGGGACAGCCGKTCAACCATCACAGCGGCGGTCGCTGCCACATAAACTGCACCGTTGCTTGGTCGTAGAAACTACAGAAATATAATAGCCAATAACGTTACGACCGCAACGCTTTTAGGTTAACCTATGCAATACTAATAGTGGTATTATTATAACTTCAGTGCGGCTGTATGTGGCACGTATGACAAAATTTTTACACGCACGTGTAGAGTCGTAAAAAAAATTGCGTACCGACCGTTTAATTAAAAAGAAAATTTCGTACCGAATGCATCGTCGTCCGGCCGACTTGCAAAATATAACGCGCGCGACACACTTTATTATAATATCGGCTCGATAGAACTAATCGAAATCCCATCGCCGTCATATAGCACGCACAATATTTAATATTATATTATTATATCCGTCGTGTGTGTGTGTGTGTGTGTGTGTGTGTGTGTGTGTGTGTTTGTGTGTGTGTGTGTGTGTGTGCACGTATCTGCCTATATTTAATGTTACGTTAGATATTATTATAAATTATGATGATGATATATCCGTCATGGCAAACTATTAAAACGACACGTCGTCGTTCACGGTTGTTGTTGTTGTTGTTGTTTTTTTTTTTTTTTAATTCGAAATCGAAGAAGAAGAGGAAAAAGCGCATTCGAACATTACGAGCCTATTCGAACGTTCCACGTAAATAATAATAATAATATTAACGTCGAACGTTATAATATTACGCGTAGGGAATAATATTGCACAATCCGCGAACAATTAATAACGCGCGATACGAACGAGGCACGGCGCGAAATGTTTAACGATCGTAGATTATAATAATAATATGAGATTCACTCGTTCGACAACGTCTAATTTATGGTTATTTCTCTCTCTCTCTCTCTCTCTCTACGAAAGTCCGAACAAGCAATAATAATTTAATATCGCATCGATGCGTCCAAAGAATCTTAAAAGACACTTATACACGATTTATTCGATCGTTGCGCAACCACAATAATATTACTAAAAGTGATTGGTACCTGCAGTATCCTTGTAGGTATATACCACTCGCGTTACACCACAATTACATATTATAATATATTGCAGTATATTAAGGGCCCCCCACAAGGAGAGGGGTGGGGTTGTTGGAAACATCATCAATAACAGATAGACATCAAATTTGTGTGTAATATATTGTGTGTGTGTGTGTAACTGTGTAAGCGATCCACAGCGAAATCTATCAAATACGTGCGGCTCTGAAATCTGGTTCATATAAGTAATCTTATGGAAGAGGACGCCAAATTTTAGAAATTTTCTTTTTGACGAGTGGCCCACACTGGGATTTGTCGACTAACGGAAAACGAATGTATTACTTTTATTTTATAAAATATTATAATGTCGTTGCCCCGTAACTCGGGTTACGCAGAAAATAAAATTGTCATCACGATCGGATGTCATCGTAGACTTGTAATATTGATTGTATTCGATCAAAACAACCGCCGTGTCCAAAATCTGTGCAGTTTACATTTAACTACGGAGTTCAATGGGTGGGGGGGGGCAATTCATCCACGTGTATTTAATTAATTGTCGCGGTCAATGGCACACAGGGTGCAGTTATAGCATAATAATATGATATTATATTGGKAAGAACGACAGGCCGCCGGTGCAAGATCGCACTGGACGTTGAAAATAACATGATTAATGATTGTCCGGTTCGGTCGTYGTTTATTCGTTTCTCAGTAAAAATGATAAAAGTTTCCCATGATGACGTCGTCGTCGGTGGAAAATGATTTATAATTTATATCAGTTCAAGATAAACTGCGGCGTTATAAAGTGCAATAACTGCAACAATGCACGCGTATACAAAAACGTTTCTATCGTTATCGGTGGGAACGGTTCGATATTCGTCATCATCATCACCATCACCATCGAGACCGTACCAGATATGTTTCATAATGATCTAAAAGTTATAACCGAGATGAGTTTTGACAATATAATATATTATATATACATACATATATGTATGCATACTGCATAGTACCATATACTATCAAACATTGCTTACCATCATTTTTCACTTTAACTTTGATCTGATTCTAATTCTAATTTTCTTTTTAAATGTCGATGTTGGTACTTAATTCAAAATTCGAATTAATGCCACGGCTTAAGTTACTAAAATGTGTAATGTTCTAAAATAGTCCTTAAAAATGGTTTTGTAAAAATATAAAATAATAGTACCTACTAATGTCGATAGATTAGTATATTAATATTGATGATTAACATTTTCAAATTACCATAGCCCCCACATATCTAAGAAGTCCATTACCATGAAACTTTTATCCTTAAACACGATGTTACAGAAACTAAAAACTATATTCAAATGAATTTTAATTTTGATAGTCAAATTTTTCAAAAAACAAAAAATCCCACTGAATAATTTACATTTTAAAAAGGGAATTTCAGAAGTTTTTCATTTTCACATGATATACTATCACTTATCAGTGAATAAAGTATAATAACGTAAGCACAATTTTCAAATCCCCTGAAATAATATTTTTGAATTTCGGCAAAATTACTGAAATCATTATTTTTCGTGTGAATATTTATGTACTCGTCCAAATTTCAAATGTTCAATTTTAAAAACTGTGTTTATGAATTTGTATGAACTACTTTATGATGAAACATTGTATTAATAGTAGTCAATTTTTAGATATACAAATTGAACATTTTATAAGATATATTTAACTACAAAATAATTTGCATAATATGTTCGTATAATTTTGTCGACATTTGTTGTTTATGATCTCGTGACAGACAATATAATATACATTTCAAAAGTAAACAATAATTGCAAATAAAAATATATTTTTTCGAGTACATTAATAATAAATTACAGACAGACCAACAATCAACTTTATAAATAATATTATTCTATACCTACCTATAAATTACACGTTTACTGTTTCAGTCGTTTTTCGGTCGGACCTACAACAACCTGAGCTCGATATCGGAGTGCAAGAACAACGGCGAATGCGTGATCAACAAGAAGAACAGGACGTCGTGCAAGGCGTGCCGGCTGCGCAAGTGTCTGGTGGTGGGCATGTCCAAGAGCGGATCTCGGTACGGCCGACGGTCCAACTGGTTCAAGATCCATTGTCTGCTTCAGGAACAGCAGCAGCAACACCACCACCAGCATCACCACCACCACAACAACAACAGCAACAACAACAACCAGCGCCATCAGCAACAGCAACAGCTCCCGCACCACCATCAGCAGCAGCAACAACTCCCGCATCAGCAACAACCACACCGGCCGTCCGCGGGCCTGCATTTCCAGCAACAGTCGGCAACGGGCTGCAGAGTGTCGTTGGACCAGAGCCGGACGCCAACGCTTTGGGCGGACGTCAAACACCACCTGCGCCTGGACGCGGACAACAACAATTCTGTGGCMGGTGACCTGAACAAAGACGGCCGGCTGTCCGTGTCTGCTGCCGCTGCCGCAGCGGCCGTCGTGCAGGCTGTCCGACCGGAGCTGATGCGGTGGCACTCTCCGTTCTTCTCGGCGTTCCCGTTCCCGCCTCCCGCGCCGTTCTTCCTGCAGGCCCTGCAGCAGCAGCAAAACCAGCAATTGCAGCAGTCACCGCAGCYGTTGACACCGCCGCCGCAACCACGCGATCACCGGTCACCGCGAAGTCCGTCATACCGGTCGTCGACCGCTGACGACGACAGCGGTGCGGGTGACCGCGACGAAGACGACGACGACGACGGGCCGCCGTCTTCCAAACGCGTCGCCGTCCACCGTGACCAGCCGCCGGTCCAGGAGTCGCCGATGGACCTGTCGGTGACCGCGGCCGCGTCCACGCCGTCCCGGCCAACCTCGCTCGGTTCTCCGTCACTCCTCCCGTACGTCGGTGGACGATCGCCCGGCCACAGTTCGGAAGACCGGTCGCGTCGCAGACGCCGGCGGCCGTGCAGACGGAGACGGCATCTGCGGGTAGACTTTTCCGCCGCTGACCGGACGTCTGGTTCGGACGACGACGATGACGACGACGACGACGACGACAGCGCGGCCGGAAGCGACTCGGTGGCATTATCCGACTCGATAGGATCGGCCGATGGCAGCCGGCCGGAGAAAAATGCGCCTCTGGACTTGACCTGCAATCGGCCGTAGACGAAATTTTATCTATATTATTATTATTATCATTATTATATAACGCGATAAGTTTCTAGGTGTTTTTTCCGTTCTGTTTTCTTTCTCTCTCTCTTTCTCACTCACTCACTCAACATCTCTTTATTTCTTAAGATGATGCGACGCTCACTCTGTATTATACGATAACGTAAAAATTTTCGTCTGCAAAAACCGTGCCGCGGGTATGTTAAAATATAATCATTATCATTATATACTATTATTATCATAATTATTATTTATATATATTGTATAGAATATTATTTAGTGTTATACTATACAGCGTGATCAATTCACTGTTCAATTGTATATAAACAAATTGTAATAAACAACGCGTGTGTAATGTGTGTGTTCGAATTATATATACATATATATATACGCATAGGCTAATTTGACAATACATTATTGTTCGTTTCTACATAATATTGTATTTCCGATCCTATATATTTCAGGGATGGAGAACCTGATATGGTTCGTGTGCCGCAGATGGTAAAATTTTAGCCGCACGAGAAAAAATATTTTTTTTGAAAGTWTCTTTTTATCGACCTTAGGGAGAGTGTAAAGCGGAAATATCTCACTTTACAGCTGTCTTACTGTCCAGATCAGATTGAAGTATACACACTGGATGTTAGTGGGTTATTTATTTGTTTACTTATTTATCAGTATGCGGCTAACAATTTTTGACTCGTATAACGCAATTGYTTTTTAATAAAAACAAACAAAAAATAAAAATAATTGCAACGTGTGCTTACTTATAACTATCAAACATTTAACATGCGTACCGTAAATCAGTGATTTAACCTGGTTAAGTTATTATGACAAAAAAAAAATAAAAATGAAAATCAGTTGTTGAGTAAAGAACCTGAAATGAACATCCTGTTGATCGGTGCGAATAGACTATAACAATTCGTTTATAGGTGAGTTACTCCCATGTTGTTCTATTTATGAAAAAGTGACGTGACAAAATACAGTATATTGTGCTAGGGCGGGACGTGCGGCATCTTGGGGGTAAATTTATTGTAGTCTTCGCCGACGGTTCATGCCCAAACATCGACCATGAAATTGCTCATTTTCCACTTATTGTCACACACTATACTATATTATTTTGTTGCTTTATCTTGAGTGGTTGCATTAAAAGAAAAAAAAAATTGAAAAAATTCTAAGATCTCAACATTCGTGTTTCATAAATGTTTATTTTCCACAGCATATACATATCAATRTATTCGATAAATTACGGAGAAATAATAGTATATAATATATTATTGATGGACGAAGATAATAATATTATATTCTCTACTTGCGTTTGAATAAAACGTTTATAACTACCAGAACACGAACCAGCAGAATAACTTGAATAACTTTTATATAAACTCATATATTCTTATTTCTTAGTTATTCATTTTCATCATCATTAATAATAAATWATATTATTACATTATAATATTTTGATCGACAAAGGGTGATAATATAATATCATCGAATTGTGAAAGTCTGATGGGAATGYGCGGCTAAAAATCACTACCTATGCAATGTTTTAGAAACATATAATTATCATTTGTTTTTGAATCGAATTTACTGTAAATGTTAAAACTTGTAAGTGAAGTCTGAAATAATAAATTAGAGTAAACCTGCTTGTATCTATATAATATTAAAATATGAACGCGATYTTCAAACTTCAAACATAATATGTTAAAACAAAGATATGACATTGTTCGATTATTCATTTTACGTGGTACATGATAATAGTGGTTATATTATTATTCATATCGTAACGAATATGGAGATCAGAAGGTCACAAGATTATAGTATTGTACCTTCTATGTGTACWGCAATGTACACATTTTATTATTTGATTCGCTATACGAAAGACATCTTGCATTTATTTCCGACTAGGTGTGGGATGGTGTAAAATAAAAAAATAAATAATAAAATATATAATRTAACTTTTATGTTTCAACAAGATATAATATATTTTTGATCAAAAATAAAATAATATTGTATGGGAAACAATGATATAATACGATGAGGACCGTGGGACTGAAGTGTTTATAATGTGTAGTGTAGCCGTGTAGGTATATGGTCGAATAAACATTTAGATATTTTATGATACTGTTTCAGACGTTTTTACTTTATTATTTTAGTTAACAGTCTTCCAAATGATATTGCGACGTACCAATATAGAAATATTATCTCAACCGTATTATATTAGTCCATTTGAATAAGTTTTGATTAATTTCCTTCAGCCGTCAACTGTTTTGTTTCCTAAAAATATAGAAATAGGAATTATTATATGTTAATTATAAAGTGTCACGTTTTAAATTTTGCCATGTCCCGTTATAGAAAAACGTCGTCAGAAATGTAGCGGAAAATGTGTAGGTCTAAGTCTACCACTAGTGAAGTCGCTACGAGATTTTTGACTCGAAGACKGTGTCGTGTCGTGTCGAAGTAGATTTTTTAAAGTAATTGTTTTGAAAAAAAAAATGATAAWTAATAATATTTTATTTTATACAATTAAGTTAGAAAAAAACCATTTGTAGGGTGGTTAATATAATATAATTTATGGTTTACGGTTTTCCCGAGATTAGAAAAATTTTAAGCACGTTTTTAAAATTTGATAAAAGTGCAAACGCCGTGATAAATATAATATACAGGGTGATTAAACAAGCGTGCTTATCCCAAATTTTTCCTTTTATAATGAATTTATTYAAACTTAAATTTTTTAAATATAGCCAGAGATAATTTTTCCAAATTATTGAATTTGTTTTTTCATTTGAAAAAATATAAGTTTTTATCTCCTCTGGACACTTCTTATGAGCGGTAAAAAAATCTCAAAATTTTTAAAATAATCTAATATGATCTTGACTCTTGATACTGCCCATTTAATAATTCCAACACTCAACAGATTTTGAATACTGCATCATTGAAGAAAAAAAGGTGGCCACTCCGTATAAAAATACGTATCTACTCTACGGTATAATATTCACGAAATCCGACCAACAAAGGGTATCTACCTTTAATAGGTGGACAACACGTGTAGGTATAGAAACGTGATGTTTCTGTTTTACGTGTGTGAAACGACATGCGACAAATCGACGTGTAAAATCGGGCGAGGTAAGTCTGAGGAAGTTATCGCGTGCATACATAATATTTATGTCGGCTCATTATTTATTTGTCTAATAAATTACGTATATATCGTACRTATGAGCTTGTGCAATAAAAAGAATACGTTCTCGAAAAACCATAATATTATYATGAAGCGATAATATCGTTGGAAAGTCGGTTGAAAAGTAATATTTTAGCGGTTTAGATTATGTGCATACGCGTGCATAATCGTGTGCGTATATTCTATTATTACAATAATTATGATTATGATTATTATTCGTAATAATCTCACGAAGCGCGTGCGGTCCGTCCGTCGGAAACGTTCCCAGAAAACTCGGGAAACTACATAAATAATTAATGACTTAAAATAATATACAATATTATAGGTAATCGTTGTAATTTACTATAATATTATCTCATACAAGCAGTAGAGTGTTTAATAACACTGACGTCGTATGATAATAATTATGAGTAATATCGACCGTTGTTTTAAACACTTGGCGCGAATATCAAGTAATAACTTATAAGTCTCATTACACTTCTTGCCGTGTGATTTACGATCGACTGTTCGAACGTGCGCGGACATAATATAAAAAACGTACAGTTATGATTGATATTAAAATAATATGTATAATTTAACGATTTAAGGACAACGTCGAATCATACCTCATCATCAGTAGTGTTTCACGCATAATTACAGCTAGGCAAATATTATTTCAGCAAGTTTTTCCGATGTCTGCGTCGATATTGACAGCATAATATATAAACGCACTTCTTTGTACCTATTGTRCGTATATAAGTAATAAGAGGTCTGCTCGGGCTGCCAATTTGCGAATTATTCGGTCCGGTCCAGATTTTTTTTTGATTTTTTAC